GACTTAATAGCCTTGATTCTTTCATCATTGCTGATGAGTCATACCTCATTCCTCTAACAATGGAGTCATTCTTGTTGCTCTCTCTGGCACTATCGCTAGGGCCAAGCCCTTTAAGCTGCAGACCAGAATTTCTCTTCCACTGCAAACTTGTGCTGAATATTTTAGCGCAACAGTGAAGCAGCACCATATATAAAGTATCTTTGGACCAATAGACAGCCCACAAATGTAGATTATCACCATTATAAAGGACATAAAACAACAGGCTATATCTGCTGCTGGTTAATGTTACTCTATTCATTGTGAATTTACTATACAGTAAATTCTGACAATATCTTGAAATCAGATAGCCAGGGATCAGCTGCGCTCATGACACTAGCTCTGAAATACACTGTAAATTACAAAACACTTGCTGCAATAAACAACAAAAACAAATTACATTTGTATAGCACCATTCACGTCGGGAGGACGTCCCAGCTGGATAGTCAGGGATTTGGATGTGAGCAGGGAGTTAGGATCAGGAGGGTTGCAGGGCAGGGAGGGTAGGAGGGTGACTGAAGGTGCAGTCGAAGAGGAGTGTCTTGAGGAACAGAAAACCAGGATCAAAGCAGACAAAGTGCTTGTGCCTGAACCTTCAGTATCATTTTAGTGTTCCGAGAAAGAAAATCTGAATTGCATATCTGAAATTACAACACATTATTACAATAACGTCTTTCACGTCGAGAGAACATCCCAAGGCAGATAAAACTGAAGCAGTCATTCTGGAATATACTCACTTCATAATACAAGGGTGAAATTAGACAAAGTAATCTTGACAGAAACTAACAGCTGCAAATTTTAGAAACGATTCAAATACAACCTAGATTAACAGGTTTCTCACAAACAAATAAAATAGATTAGCCAAATTCAAAATGCAAAATTCACAAAACTAAAACATACTTTTCGGTCTGAAGCAAGTTTCACTCCTGCTACAGAAATAAACCACACCTAGCATAAATTAATATGTTTCATATATTAACACTCATTCCCTGCTTTGAGATGAAAATATATTGGAGGAAACTATAACAGAAAAGAACTTAATCTGCACTACATCCCAAGTCATGATTTAAACCCTGCATCTTGGCCACATATGCAGTGTCTAATATCTAATTTACTAGAAGCAGTGCTTCATACAAATATAATTACTTCACCATCAGAATTTACTTTTTTAAGTCTTGCCTGAAAACCTTGCTTCGACCTTGCTTACAGCCACCTCCCCCCGGCTCGGAGTTAGGCTCCACTAATGTTAAGCGCTCTGAGATGCTACCCTGTGTGGAGGGTACTAAATAAGTGCAAGTTGTTGTTCTATTTTATTTTATTTATAAGTTGTTATATAAACTGAAGCAGTCATTCTGGAAATACACTCACTTCACAGTGCAGGTGCCAATGGATCAGACCCTACACTGGCTGTCACTAAGTGTGGGAAGTAACGCTATTCCTCCTGCTTGCTGATTGTCAACCTTTGCAGGAAAAGATCTCAGTCCCAGTGTGCCACTCACACAGTAGTCTACACTGTGCATTCCCCTTGCCCTGCCAGCCAAAGGGGAATGCATTTCGGAACATGTTTCAAACGTATCAGGAGCCTTGGTGTAAAGTTAATGGAATCCCACATCATTGGCAGCATGTTACTGACATTCTTTTACCCGCATAACTCAAGAACGGCAAAATGCTATAACCCACATGCCCAGCTCTCTGACGCAATATCCTGTTTATGTGTTTATGTTGTAGGCATCTGAGGCATCCCAATCTATTTGACATCTATGAGGAATACATGTTAATGTGGTGATCAACAGAGATGGCTATTGTATTAACAATCTTCTACAGATCCACAGGAAACAATTCTACGGGTAATTTTGGCCATTTTTATTTCAGACATTCATACTCTTCAGAGCACTGGCTGTAAACAATGAAATGTTAAAGTTTTGTGTGTTCATGGCATGCTTGGTCTTCCCTGTCCGTGTCCAGCTGTCACTATTCAGCAGATGTGAAGTCTTACTGCACTAACATTCGCTGATCTATTTTTGCTTCAGATTTATCAGATTTTAGTTAAGTTTCTTTATTTTAAATGATGTAGCTCCTTCCCGATGAACTCATAAGTAATTCACTCTCTCAGTGCTCATCTCCACTTGTCAATTTCCTGGCCCAATTGGTAGCACTTTCACCTCTGAGTCAGACAGTCGTTGGTTCAGTCGATATCAGTAATTTGAACTCACAAGCTAGGCTGACATTGCAGTTCAGTGTTGGGGTGTGCTACATTGTTAGAGGTGCCATTTTTTGCTCAAGACAAAAACTGAGGTCCCATCTGCCTAATCAGGTGGATGTTAAAGATCTTTGGCACTATTCAAAAAGACAAAGGAATTTTTCATGGTGTACTGGCCAACAATCCCCCAAATAAAATTGGTCATTCACTTCATACTGTTTGTGAAACATTACTTTGTGCAATGCGCAAATTGGCAACCACATTCACCTACAAAATACAATCACTTGACTTTACAGTGAATCCTATGAAGCACTTTGAGATGTCACCTTGATAAGAAAATCACTACATCGAATGTAAGGATTATAATTATTGCTAAGTTTAATCGTAAAACCATTTGATATTCCACACTGCAATTTGAATTAAATACAACTTATGAGACCAGAAGATTAATTAACACATGGAACGGATTAGGAAATGTCACAAAATTCACCACATAAAATAGTAAAGAAATGAAAACGCCTATTGCGATTCATCTGACACGTAAAAAAAATGTAATACCAGATCACAAGAAAAATTCAGATGAGGAAAGCCCTTTGGACGATTTCAACTCATCCTTACAGAACATCCACCTTATTCCCCTCTGCATTATAGCAACAAGCTCTTTCTTAAATTAGTGGAGCAATCTGGCTTCAACTACCGTTCATGGTAACCCATTATCAGTTTTTAATTCCCCTGTCTCATGTCCTTCAGTCAATTAAATAGCTGTCTAATTCCCTCTCGAATCTGACACATTTTCCTCCTACTCTTTATTCTATGTGTGCAATCATTATATGGAGTATGAACTGGAGATGGCTTTATAAAATGAAAACAAAGTCTGAAAGAAATAACTTTCAAAATTAAATGAGTTAGTTAATAGGAAAGCTTGCACATTAAGAGAAGATGAGATATTCTCAGACTTTAAATTGAGCAGTTGTTGCTGAAAGCTCCAGGCCCTGAGTCCTCCCAGATTATCCTCATTGAATCAATAACACTGTAGCTTTTATAAGGTACAAAATTAGTAACACTTACACTTATATTACCAGCTTTCACATAGGATGAATGCCTCACAATAATGATGGAGATCAACAGACAATGAGAAAAGAATGGGAAATTTGAGAAAGATGACCAAAAATATACATACTTTCAAGAGGGCTTTGAAGGTAGGGTGAGAATGTGCAAGGCAAAGGGATTTGGGGAGAGCACTCCAGGGATTAAGTACATCATGAAAGAACACTTGGTCACCAATGGTGGGGCAGATATAATAAGATACAAACAGTGGACCAGAGTTGGAGCAGTGGAGGAAATGAGTGGGAGATTAAGGTTAGAAGATATTGTATAACTTGTAAGGACCAAGGTCAGGAAGGGATTTGATAGTCTGGATGAGGATCTTAAAATCAATCTGCTGTGGAACCTTTGCAGATAGACAAGGAGAGTATTAATGTGCAGAACCTAATGTGAGAGAGAATACAGTGGTGGTCTGTGTCAAGGTTCAGATGTAAGGTTTAAAGCAGAATTAGAGGGAGGGGTTGTCAAACAAACTGCTAAGATTACGCAATGGCTCAGTTAGCGAGAGCAAGCAGCAGAGAAGTTGATGGAATCAGAGCCAGAAACAAAAAGGCTCTATTGAGTATTGCAAAGATGGATAACAACAAGGATATAACCTATGTTTAGATGTAGCTTGTGACTTCTGTTCAGGAAATGCAAAAAGTCAAGGTTGAAGAGGCCTAGTTAGCACACAGATTGGGTGTTATAAAAAGCCAAGAAGGATGGAAGAACATGCATAAGTTGTCCTGATAAACATATCACTAAATTTGGCTCCAAATCATTTTAGAAGACTTATCTGAATGCTAGCCTGTATTTCACAATCTTTGAGATTCTAGCAAAACAGGAACGTAGATCTTTCTGTTGGTGAGGTTACAGCATCAAGTCATTTCCTGCATCACAGAAGAGGAGACTCATGTCCGCCCATTGGTGTATTTGTGGGAACAGAGCCAAGCCAGATCACACAAGTCAGACCAAATGAAGGTGGAAAGAAATCTATCCTTTGCACAAATGTATTTCCACTTTCCACTTCTTTTGTGATTAATTAAAGCAAAAGTAAACGCATTTGGCACAAATGTAATGTAATGCATGAATACCACTGGCTCTTGTTTTAAACATAGACTATCCCACAACTACATGAAACACAAGCTCCTTTGCCAGCAATCTGTGTCCACCTCCACATGTCTGGAAAATGGTGATGTGTGCACCGTAATGCTAATTACATTAATTCCCAAATGGGTTTGCAAGCTGCATATGTGTTTATGGGTGTGCGGAGGTTTATGATTGCGAGTGGAGAGGGGGAAAGCTGTGTGTGCTGATTTCCAAGATAAGAGCTGGTGGTTTTATTTTCAGTCCTTTCTTCGGAGCCTGGGTTTACTGTTACCTTTCCCCTTCACTTTCAGTCAGGGCATTGTTGCCACTATTGACAGCACTTCAGCAGAGGCGAAGGAACAAGAACCAACAAATCTGAGACTCGAGCACTGTGTTGTGTGCCCTTCCTCCAATATCTAATGAGTTCAAACAAGTACGTTACTGAAGTTGAGACACAGAAGGTTGCAGTTCTGAACTCACTCAGCACGATAAACATTCTGCCATTTTTCCCTCAACAGGTGAAACACTCGCATTCCGCAAAAGCCCACTTTTGAAGCAGAAATCATTACAAGGAAGATATAGCTTTACTCACCTCAGCAACGAGACAGACATGCAGGCCGGGTTTAAAAATCCCAAAGAACAGTTCAGTTCTCCTGCAGTGAAATATGGCTACTGAAGATTGGGGAAGTGCTGTTCCTGTATTGATTGAGTCATAATCTGTGCTGAAGCGTTTCTGGGAGAGGCACGCCCAAGTTGCTGTAGGCCAATTGCTGTACCAGGACAGACATGCAAATTCTGGAGGTGAGAAACCAGTTTCTCTTTAGTGCAAACAGCCAAGTGAAGCATAAGAACACATTCACACACCAGTCTCTGCTGCGAACGCAGAGGGCAAGGTGTGCTAACAATACAGGAAGTTGGCAGACTTGGGTCAGAGCCAGTCTGCTAACAGGTACCGTCATGTCCTGAGTTACCAAGTATTCACTAGCCGTTTAAGAAAATGAGCAGGAATAGTAGTGGCCTACTATTTAACCATTTACATACCACATGCCGGGGAATAACCAATGTTGTAAACATCTACCTCCCCGCGTTTCCCTGCCAATAATGATATTACGAGCAAACAATAGATTTGCAGTGGGTCAAGTGATTTTTCTCATGCAGCACATAACAAAAAGTCACAGGATTTCCTGCAGTGCTCTGATTCAGTATTAATAGCTGAATGTATCTGTAAACTTGGTTGCTTATTGGAAATTATTTCAGTAAGCATTTAATATGTGACTGATATCAGAACATACTCTTCTGAGTCATAATATCACTTACTTGGTATTTATAAAATGATAGTTTGGGTAAATAAGCTTTCAGTTAAAGTGTCAGTGGCTATCTGCACTAGTAGTGTGACACTGAGCTAGAGACACAAAAGTTCTAGGTTTGTCCTTGCCTTGTACGGAGTTAGTCAGGTCAACAGCAGAGCGACTACAGTTGACCTCAGCCTCCCCGGATAAGGAGGGGGAATATTAACGTTACAACACTCTTTAGCTATCCATAGATCCCTGTTGCTAATTGCAAGTGTATCGACATTGGGTGAAAAGCATGCATGTCCTCAGCTGCCATGGCCATCATATCTGAAAACTTACTATATAGACTTACACACGGGGACTGGTAACTTAGTTAGAGGTACTGGAATTGTACTCACAACAAAGCAAAGATTCTGGAGGTTAACCCCATGTCTGTGGATGATGTCACCAAGCAGAAGCACATGGATATTGAAGAGGAGAAGACCAAGGACAGAGCCCTGAGGAATACCACATATGACATACATGCATGGACTGGAGGAGAAGCCATTCATGGACACAAAGTGGAGACAAGACCAGGCTGGCATACAAATATAGAAGAAATGCAAGGATTGTTATTATTTATTTTATGCTTTTATTCTACTATTCTATAAATATAGACTCCCAACTGAGATTACATTTGTATCTTGTCACATTCCAAAATACCTTCTTCCAGCATCTCACAACCTACTAATGACCCACCTCATTGTGCACGAACATAGCAATTCAATTTTTCAGAATCACAAAGATGTCTTTGTATTCTCGGTCACATCCTACTTGCCCTTTGAATTGCATGCAGGAGCTTCTCGAGCCCAACCACTTCAATTCTCAAACAAAAACCCACCTTGCTGTTTTGGAGTCTGCTTAACCTATCATGGAATTACAGCATTTTCTGTGCTTCGTTCAACAAACCAACATTTGCCTTGATTGATCTCCATACCATACTGCCTCGCCACATCAATGTGTATTTCGCATTCCAACCTCCAATACAGAGTCAAACCTGAAAGTGAGCCAAATAGACCTTCTGCCCAATTTTTGTTAAACTTAAACTTGTTCGATAAATGTACGGCACAGGAAACCTGATGTGATTTGTATTGTACTGGAGGTTTCACTGGCACAGCTCACACAGAACTTCTCGTTCCTTGTATCATAGAATCATATAGCACAGAAGGAGGCCATTTGGCCCATCATGTTTGTGCCGGCTCTTTTAAAAGAGCTATCCAAATCAATCCCACTCATCCACTCTCTCCCCATAGCCCTACAAACTTGCCTCCCGCTCCCCTAAATAATTATCTACTTCTCTCTTAAAAGTTGTTATTGAATCTGCTTTGAATTAGGCAATGCATTCCAGATCTGATCAACTCGCTGCGTGAAAACATTTCTTCTCATCACCCTTCTGTTGCTTTTAACAACTATTTTAAATCAGTGCCCTCGGGTTATCAACCCACCCACCAGTGGAAATAGTTTCTCCTTGTTCACCCTACTGAATCCCCCTCATAATTTTGAAAACTTCCATTAAGTCTCCTCTTAACCTTCTCTGCTCCAAGAAGAATAATCTTAGCTTGTCTAGCCTCTCCTGATAACTGAAGTCCCTCATTCCTGGTACCATCCTGGTAAATCTCCTTTGCACCCTCTCCAATAACCTTCATATCACAGTTCTCTAGCTGAGGCCTAACCAGTGTTTTATAAAGGTTCATCATAACTTCCTGACTTTTGTATTCTATGTCTCTATTTATAAAGCCTAGTATCCCATATGCTTTTTTAACAGCTTTATCTACCTGTCCTGCCACGTTCAAAGATTTACTTATATGAACACCCAGGTTTCTCTGTTCCTTCACCCCCTTTAAGATTGTACCATCAGCTTATATTGTTTCTCCTCATTCTCCTCATTCCTCCCAAAATGTATTGTTTCGCATTTCTCCATATTAAACTTCATCTGCTATGTGTCCGGTCATTTTAAAAGTCTGTCTATGTCCTCTTACAATCTACTACTACTTTTCCTAGCTTAGTATCGTCTGCAAACTTTGAAATTGTACTCGCTATACCCAAGTCCAGGTCATTTATATACATCAAAAAGAGCAGTGGTTCCAATACCAACCCCTGGGGGACACTACTGTACACTTCCCTCCAGGCAGAAAAACAACTGCTCACCACCACTCTCTGCTTTCTGTCTCCCAGCCAGTTCCGTATCCATGCTGCCACTGTCCTTTTAATACCATGGGCTTCAATTTTGCTTACAAGTCTCTTATGTAGCACTTTATCAAACGACTTTTGAAAATCCATATAAACTACAGTAGCTGCACTGCCTTCATCCATTCTCATTATTAGACACGATTTGTCTTTAACAAATCCGTGTTGGCTGTTCTTTATTAACCCATATTTTTCTAGGTGAAAATGTATTTTGTCCCAGATTATAATCTCTAGAAGTTTCCCCACTACTGACATTAGGCTGACTGGCCTGTAGTGTCCAGGTTTATCCTTCTGCCCCTTTTTGTACAGGGGAGCATCTGCAACCCTCGAGTCCTCTGGCACCACCCCAGTGTCCAAGAAGGATTGAAAGATTGTGGCCGCCACTATTTCCACCCTTATTTCCCTCAGTAACCTAGGATGCATCCTATCCAGACTAGTTGAGTTATCTACCTTGAGCACCATCAACCTTTTTAGTACTTCCTCTTTGTTTATTCTTATCCTATCTAATTTCTCTATCCTCTCCTCTGATATTGCGGCATTGGCTGCATCCTCTTCTTTAGTGAAAACAGATGCAAAGTACTCATTCAGTACGTCATCCATGTTGCCTGCCTCCACAAGGAGATTTCATCTTTGGTCCCTAATTGCACCCACCTTACCTTTGACTAACCTTTTATTCTTTATATGCTTATAAAATACCTTATGATTCCCTTTTATGTTACCTGATAATCTTCTCATACAATCTCTTTGCTCCTCTTTTTTCCTTTCTTCAGTTCTCCTCTGTACTTTCTATATTCTATTTGATTATCTTCTGTATTTTGGACCTGACATTTATCATAAGCCTTCTTTTTCTATTTTATTTTAATTCCTATTTCCTTAGTCATCCAGGGAGGTTTGGAACCTTATCTTTCTCCTTTATGGGAATGTATTTGTTCTGTTCCCAAACTATCTCCTCCTTGTCGGCTTCCCATTGCTCATTAGCTGTTTTACCTGCCAATTTTTCTTTCCAGTCCGCCTTGGACTATAAATTTTAACCCATTGAAATGGGTTAAACATGTTATTAGCCATCCTAGTTCCTTGCTGTACCTAAAACTATAAATTTTAACCCATTGAAATTAGCCCTCTTCCAGTTGAGTATCTTCACGTTTGATTGCTCCTTGTCCCTTTCCATAAGTACTCTAAACCTAATGATGTTGTGATCACTGTTGTCCAGATGCTTTCCTACTGAAACTTTCCGCACTTGTCCCACTTCATTCCCCAGAACTAGATCCAGCACTGCTTCTTTTATAGGAACAAAGGAATTAGGAGCAGGAGTAGGCCATTGGGCCCCTCGAGTCTGCCCTGCCATTCAATATGATCATGACTGATCTTCTAACCTAACACCATCTGCCCGCCTCATCGCCACATCCCTTAATCCCTCTATCCTTTAGAAATGTATCAATCTCAGTCTTGAATACGTTCAAGGACTGAGCATCTGCAGCCTTCTGGGGTAGAAAATTCCATAAATTCACTACCCTCTGAGTGTAGAAGTGTTTCCTCAACTCTGTTTGAAAGGGCTGTCCCTTAATCTTAAGACTGTGACCCCTAGTTCTAGATTCTCCTACCAAGGGAAACAGTCTCACACTGTCTATTCTGTCAAGCCCCATAAGAATCTTATATATTTCTATAAGATCACCTCTAATTGTTCTATATTCTCGAGAATATAGGCCTAGTTTACTCAATCTATCCTCATAGGTCAACCCCCTCATCCAGGAACTAACCGAGTGAATCTACGCTGCACCCCCTCTAAGGCAAGTATGTCCTTTCTTAAATAAGGAGACCAAAACTGCACACAATATTCTAGGTGTGGTCTCACCAGGGCCCTATACAGTTGCAGCAAGACTTCCCTACTCTTGTATTCTAACACTTTTGCAATAAATGCCAACATGTTATTAGCCATCCTAGTTGCTTGCTGTACCTACATACTAATTTTTTGTGACTGGTGGACAAGGACATCCAACTCCCTCTGAACTCTAACACTATCTAGTCTCTCCCCCTCTAGAAAATAATCTGCTTTTCTGTTTTTACTACCTAAGTGAATAACTTTACACTTCCCCACATTATATTCCATCTGCCACCTTCTTGTGCACTCACCTAGCCTATCTATATCCCTTTCCACATTGGGTTTGAAACATACTGATCCAGAAAATTATCCTGCGCATATTTCAGGAATCCTTCCCCCTC